GTAGCAGACTGAGGAAGGTTTGTGGACAGGACTTACTATTGGTTTAACAAATTCACAGAAATGACCTAAGCTTGTGCCTAAAAAGCCTGCTTTCATCATTAAAGACACGCACAGTTCTTTCATTATGACAGTATTGCTTTTTTTGTAATTCAGTGCTACACAACTGCTGTCACAACAATGACAGTCGTAGTTGCACGAGTACGCACATCCTCATTATCACTTTGCCAAACCCACTGAAAGAAAACCCCGAACCATAATGGACTAAGAGAAGAAACACTGAAACTGCACACTTCTCCTACTCGACACGAGGAAGTCAAATCACTTCAAAAGAAAACAAAAAGATGGCAAATACAGCCGGGACAGTACACTTTTACAAAAGTTGGAAAACTTAGTCCAAACAAGAAACAATAACTGTGCACTTCCTTACAACTTTGCTTTAGTAGTTAAGCTGAAACTTATCTTTTTCTCCCCTTTTTTTGGTTTCAGTGTTTTGCTCATTAGTCGCCTTTTTGCCCTTTGCCAGGGCACAGAAAGCAGGAGCTGTTGCTCCGTCATATTCTGTCACAGTTAATGTATACAGAGAACGTCTGTTATTTACTCTTCAAACATCTACATGCATGAGCAGTCGGGCACAAAAAAAGAAAAAAAATGAAAGAGGAAATGGAAGAGAATGTATGCAATAACAGAGATTAAGGCGATAACATGCAAAGAGACAATTGCGGAAAAAAGAAAAAAAAAATCCCCATTTCTCAACTTCATAAAAAGTCCAAAAAAAAAAAAAAGAAAGAAAGGTGACTTTATGAACTAGCTTCTGAGCCCTGACGAGGGAAATTTTAGCCATCGTTTTGACTATCGAGAAAAGCAAAGTTGGTATTTTACCCTGGGCTGCGAGGACAGATTTGGCTGCTGGAAGCCACTGGTAGCCAGACACTCGGAAAAGAGGAAAGGGCACAGCCAAACAAAAAAAGGATAACGCCTTCATACGCATACGATTATTCTGTCATAAAATCCAAACAAGAGCACCATTATAGTGTGGGATGTATGACTATTACAGGAGTACACAAGGAGTATATCAGAGTGAAGGAACAGTCCTCACTTCTGCACAGAAGCTCATGACATGGCAGCTGACAGGTGCAATTTTTTTTTTAAAATAGGTTGCCTAATTGCAGTTTCCATGCATACATTTGATTTTCAAATGTAAGCCTTCGAGTACGAAATGCTGATAAGAATGGCATCACCATTTCCTCCTGCAAGCTGTGGATACCCTCTCTGTGACTCCAACTGAGAAGAGAGCAACAGCAGAGCAAATGCCTCTCTCTTCCTCCTCCTCCTCTCACCTCCTTGAAAACTAACTTGTGACAATAATTACAGAGTAATTCTTAACCAGTCGCTAGTATTTGGTTGCAGAGATGTGCAGGCTACTCGCATAAATCGCTCTGATATAATTAACCACAAATCATCAAATAAATACCTGCAATACAAAAACCTCAAGCTGGAATAATCTGTTGAGTGTTGCACCAAATTTTGTAGAAGGCCACACAAACAAAAGCCGCAAGGGCTCGCCAGGAGTTATACAGACGAACTGCCCCATTGTGCTTCTAAGAATGACATTTAGTCTGGCTTGGGTTGTGTAAGGTAGAAACAATGTTACGGGATAAACTAAGTGTGCAATTACCCAAAATCTTGCCCAAAACAAGATCTAAGCGATCCAACTAGGAATATGTAGGCTCAAATGCATTTTGCACGTAGTATACAGGTAGGTATTTATCCACAAATTGAGTTTAGATAAATTACAAAAAAAACTATTTAACAAACAAAAAAAACAATTCATTGTTGTATGTTCTCTAAGGTGAAGATTTTTCTTGCATTTGAAATCTCTGGGACAGAATGTCTTTAGGTTGAGCACTACTGATCCAAATAAACAGATACCAAGCCAACTGGGTATCACTGGGTGAAGATAGAGGTGATGGACCAGCTATGACTAATTATGGCTACTTGAAGCAAACCCCAATACCAGTGATGCACATCGAGACCACGACCAAGCGAGTTCAACTCAGTACGCAATTAAAAAACGTAATCCTGAGATATAATAAGAAAAAAATAAAGCTGCATTTAAGTATAAACTGTAAATTGGATCAAACGGTTTAACATCACTGTGGCTTCATTTAAATTGTCAGTCTTACAAATAGAAGTGTTTACGTGGTGCCCGCTTGAACGAAAAGAAGAATAAAGATGATAAAGCTGTGTAGCAGTTTTGGTGGAGTTTTTACCTTATAACCTGAGCTTGACAGCGTGTCACGCTAAAACGGCTAACATTAACCTGGCTAAGAAAATTTCCCCCATCTGCTTTTAGTGGTTACAGCCAGACTAACCGTCTGCCAGCTGGATAACAGTGTGCTGGCCATGCTGGCATGGACACTAGGTGTTTTTCTCTCTCTCTCTCCTTTTCTTTTTCAGTCTAGGTTAACGTTTAGCTGTTAGCTTGCGTGAGCTTTAACGCTGGAGAACCGTTAGTGCTGCAGTCTGTATCACAGAGCTTCACCATCAGCGGCAGCTCAGATTCATACCCTGCTCTAGTCATACCAGGTCTTACCTGATTCCTGACGGCCACCTCTTCTTATGTCCTTTTGGAAATATGTTAAAGGGTTACACACAGCAGCCAAAGATGCACAGAAGCGGCATCCAGAATCCTAGCTAAGCAGCCAGGTTTTTTTTTCTTTTTTCCCCACTCCAAGACGCTAGCCTAGCTGACGAGACGCCGTGCCCCGTTGGAATAGCATTTCTGCATCAATGCATGTCATCGCTCAGCAGCATGGCTAAGCTAACTAGCAGCTACACAAGCAGTTCAGACGCTCTCTGGGTCCCGCCTGCTGCCACACGATTGGCTGAGAGAGAATCAGGAGTTTGTGATTGGACAAAGACACTGTCCGTTAATCTCACTGCAGCTGCTGGTGCTTTGCTTTCCCCTAAGCATTCGTCATGTTTTCGTCTCTGTGAGGGTAAAGAATCGATCGAATCTCTACCATTGATAGACGTGTGTATGAAAAGAGAGATGAAAGTGAGTCTGGTTATCGCATCACGTACTGTTTAATGTTTTGGTATCTAAAAGAAAGATACGTAGGGAGTGGGACTTTAGCACAAGACCCAAACTATAATTTAGGCTAGTAAGAAATTGATGTTCTGTACTATACTTGCTAAAATAAAATACATAAAAAGTGCAAGCTTGCCCTTCAGCAAGCATCGCGTTAAATGCTGCCTACGTGTTTTTAGTATATGACAACTGTAGTTTTCTCAGCATTAATAAGCATTTCAAAGAAATGCCCAGTCATCACCAACCGTGCGATACACAAAACGAATCTACATAAAATAACTCGTCATCCAATCCCATTCGGGCTCCACATGTGAAATGATGATACATCTATTAAACGTCTCTGTGGTGAAGATACTTGCAGAGTAATTTGGAAGGCTGTGCAACTCGCTGCAGGATGCAATCTGTTTCCTGCTCAAACAGATGGGCCTGCCCTACATGTATTCTGTGATCTGCACCCAAAACTAGACTATAATACTGCATGTATAGTGGATTATAAACTCCATCTAATACTTCTATTCACTTTTTAATATAAATTGGACTGTTTAAAATAAAATATGGCATGGTGGAATGTGTTTTGAGTCACTTTCTTATTAGCTTGAGAAAGATTTTGTCCACATTTTCTCTGCAAATGGATCTAGCTTGTTGTTTTAGTCATTTTGTATTATTCAATAGTAGTAGACTGTCATTACACAGGCGGATTTGATTTACTGCTTATATTGTTGCTGTAATAAGGGTATATTACTGGTCCCATGACATTTATTACCTATTTGTGTGCAAATAAGGTTATTATTCAATAGATTGTCATCAGCTGTGCACAGTCTCAGATCAATTTGCTCCATCAATATGCTTCCATTTCTACTGCATACACAAAACATTCGCTTCCTGGCTTTCTGAAGTAAAATAATTTCCTAGCTCTAGCAGTCTAAATGAAGTGGATCCTGAATGCCACCTGCTGGGCTATCAGTGAATCATGCGTTTGTGTCAGCTGTGAGCAAGCATCATCCCCTCTTTTCATCCACTCTGCATCCTCATTTTGTTCTTATTTCATTCCTTTGCTTTTGCTTTGCCTTGGGGAAACGTAGAGCTCAAGTGGTCTTGGTTTTTCCCAACAGAGAAAAGGAGACGTCACTGGTGAGACACTGAATCACCCACTACAGAAAAAGCAAATGGTCTCACGCTGTCAAAAGGCAACTCTAATTCAATACAGTGCACCTGCCTCTGGGCATTAGTTTGATATGCATCTGACAGTAAACAGAAGCAGAATCCAGGGTTATAATCGCCAGTGTTAAGTATCAACTAGGCGACGGGGCCAGAGCATACGTGATAGGGAGCAGCAACAACAAAACAACAGTTTGTGCACAAAATATAAGGAATTATAGACAAGACCTTTTATTTTTCAAAGTCACATTTGGCCTCCAGTAAATTTGGAGTCTGTTTGTGGTGTTCAATTTAGATTTAATGAGAACAATATCACATAATGCCACAGCCTGCAGCCTATCACATAAAGGACATTATATTCTACTTTGTAGCTTCGCTGGCTCATCTGTAATTGTTTCTTTGAAGAAATTATACTGTCTTGGAAAGCAACAGCTTAGGAGCCACACAAATAAATACCAGTTGTTTTTTTGTTTTTGTTTTGTTTTTTATAAAAGGTTGGGCTGTTTCTAAAGTTCTTATTTTATTCCTTTTATGTAGCGTGACCCATCTCTGGGCTGACATTTACAGAGATACATCTTTGCTGATTTTACATTGACATTCACAAGACCAGATCCCACGGGGTCAATTTGATTTCAAATCTTGGAGCGTGGTAAAGCACACAAACTAAACAGATCATTTTCATGCCCAACATTTTGGCCAGTCACACAACTGATTAGACATTAAAGCAATACTACTGGGGGCAAAGTCGTCACCATGTTATATCTGCCTTTTTTTTATTATTATTTCCCACACAAATATTAAGACACCATTTTTTTTATTAGTTACACAACTGGCACTCATTTGACAACACAACAATACAAAATCATCAGATGACGACCCAGACATTCTTTGAATTGTACAACCAAGCAACATTGTAAACAATTAGACTGACATCTAAATTCATTTGATGGGTGAGTCCAGGATCTCTTGGTAATCCTGCCGAATGGCTCTGCTCACCCTGTACAGCTTGACTCCAGTCAGAGTAAACACACTAATCATGATGACTAGGCCCCCGATGACGTCATAGACAGAGGGGATCATCCTCAGAACGATGAGCTGGAGAAACATGGCAACCACAATCTCCAGGTGCTGCACGGTGCTCACTAAGGCTGGATGAAACTTATTTAGAGCATAGTAGACTCCGAGAAATGCCACAGTGGAGCAGATACAAATCCCAATTAAATAGCCCCAGGTCTCCGCATCCAGAGGAATGATGGGCTCCTGCATGATAAACATGGTGGAGGCGCCCCAAACTGTGCCCGTCCAGCCGAAGGTAAAGAGTGCGGTCCACATGCTGACCCGCTCCTTAATGGCCCTGTAGACGATCATGGAGAGGGCAGCAGTCATGCCGGCCATCACTGTCATTGTGTAGCCAAAGGCCTCCTTCCAAAACCCCAGCCTGGACTTCTCCTCATCTGCTACATTTGGCACCATAACCAGGCACAAGCCAAACACGCTTCCTACCACTGTGACTACATCAGTATAGCCCAGCCTCTCATCCAGCAGCAGGAAGGCTAGAACTGCACTGAAGACTGTGGTGGAGGCACGCCACATGATAGTGCCATTGCTAGGTGGTACTATGGCAAAGGATGTGTAAGCGCAGGTGATTGAGATTACGTTGCAGACACCGTAAAAGAAGAGACGCAGTCGATAGCCCTTGGGGCCAAAGGGGGCTTCGTGGTAGTAGAAGACCACCAGGATGGACAGCACTTGGATCACCGAGCGGATGAATAGTAGCTCAAGAGAAGGAACTTTAGAACGGTCAGCTGCTAAACGAGTAATCAATGCCACACAGCCATGAGCTACTGCTGCCCCAAACAAGGCCATCCAGGTCACCCTGGAGGCCAACACATTCGCCTCGCCAAAGCTGGCCAGCTGCCCCTCAACGCCCTTGTCTCTTTGCACACTTGGCTGCTTAGGTTGGGTTTCCATGGTTCCAAAGAAAGTCCTGCCACCTTTGCTATCTGACACCAGTCTCTTCCCCACATTGGCTTCAGCAAAGGCGCCAAAGTCCTCAAAAGAGGGTGCATCGTCATAGCCCTCATCTCCAGGCTGAGGGAAGTGAGTGGCATATTTCACCGTCACTGTGTTGGGGTGAATCTTGACCCGCTTTTTTGATCCGTACTGAAGCGAAGATGAAGATATATCCATGTTGTATGGGCGTCAAATGGGGCAATCTGAAAAATGAAGTGAAATCCATTACAGTGTAACAGCAACCAAAGTGCTGTCAAATATTTGGACTTAGTTTAGAGGTTTGCATAATTTATCTCTCAGTATCCAAACCGCCACACTCACATGTATCCAAAATACACATGTGCTGACACACAACAAAAATCTCTCACGTTACCTCGTCGCTGTTACCTTTTACCCTTCCTAGATTTACACTTGTGTTACATTGCCTCTGTGTATATAGGCTGTGTATATCCCGTGTGAGCTCATAAAAGCCAAGCAGCAAACATTGTGAGGCTGATGCAGTCTGATGGGGATGAAATTACATAACAGGGATCCACCAGGGGATGATATATGAATGTGGGCCACTTATGAGCTGAATGGAACTGCACACCATAAATAAGCAAATCCTGTAGCTATGTCGGTGTGTGTGAAAGGGTTAAATGGAGGGGAAGAGTTTGAACCTTTTCTACTTTGTTTTATACAGCGCAAGGATTTAGCTTCAGTAGCCTTACTGATTATTAATATTCATTATAAAATATAATTTTCAAAGTGTAAAGCCTAAATATATTTATATATACTGTGAGTATGAAGTAGTGCCTCTGATGTTTGTTTGTTTTTTCTTAACTCTAAAATTTATGGCTACTGCAGCATTCATTTGGGCAATACACAGCACATCAAAACCACAAGGGGGCAGATAGGTACTCTTGTTTGTCGTCTCTCTTCCTCTTGCTCCTCCTTTTTGAAATATAGATGAATATAACTTCATTACTGATAATTAACACAAGTCACACGTATATAAGGTATTAAAAAGCCTAAAGCCTAAAACAATGCTTTCTAACACCTACAGGACATTCATTACTTAACATCGTATTTTTAGCTGGCCAAACAAATTAAAGCGATTTATTTTCCACCGATGTACGAAAAAATTTAATAAGAACGTGTTTTCAAACCGATAATTATTTAAGATAGTAGACTATCTTAAATGCCACATTTTTTTCATGTCATTCAATCTCGTTGAAATCTGGTTAAATGTATATTTAGATACCTGTATTTTGACAAGCTCCTATGTGAGCCATTATAGCGCCAACTTAGCGTAGAGAGAGGAAAACATGTTATCGGTGAACGTCTTACCTTTTTGTTCCTTAAATAGTTCCTACTGTTGCACGGATCCGGGTTTTTGTCATAAAAGAAGATTTTGTCGAATTTCTTGGTCCTTACATTCGCTCATCTGCAACTGCCATTTCTCCATCTTCCGTCTCAAGTGGAGCACCTTTTCTTTTTTCTTTTTTTTTCTTTTTAAAAAAAGCTGCGTGCTGCTTAGGTTTTTCGTTCTCCACTCTCTCGACGGACACTCCTTCTGCCTCTGATGAAGCTGAAGCTGCTGTTGCCGAGGCGGGTGATGATGATGCTGGTGCTGATGATGAAGTTGAAGGAGGGGATGGAGGAGAGGAGCAACTGTCACTGTCACAGCCAGCGGTTACTCTTCCTCATTCTCCTCCTCGAGAGTCCTTCCTACCTAGGGTCGCTCATAGTCAACATCCCTCAGGGAAAAGAGAAGCGCGTCTGTCATTCATCATCATCATTTTCATTAGATTAAAACCCCCATCCACTTTAAGAGCAGCATTTGAATTTCCTATGCGACTTAGTTATGGAGAGATGCAAGAAATATTAAAGTGCAACCAGGTTATTCTTATTCTCTTCTTTACAGACATTTTGAACATGTATCACTTTTACTGCACAATATATAAAGCAATTTATGTAATTACAGTATATTCCACACACTGTGCTTTATCTCTTTATCTCTTTTCAGCTCCTGGTATATTCTAAATTGCCCACAGGTGTGAATGTGAGTGCAAATGGTTGTCTGTCTCTCTGTGTTAGCACTGCCACAGAATGACAACCTGTCCGGGGTGTACCCCACCTCTCGCCCTATGGTAGGTGAGATAGGCCCAGCCCCCTAGCAGCCCTGACAAAGGATAAGGAGAAGAGGATGGATGGATGGATATTTTGCTAGACTAACCCCCTAACCCTAACCCTCTGATGTTGTGCCAGGAATCTGCTGGAACCACTCAATTCTTATTGGAGTCCTATTGGACTTCACATCTCTCAGCTCCTGGTACTTGCCTCTTTTCTCATGCTGTTTTTTCCTGATGTTGCTGTCCTCTGTGATTGCCACCTCTATCAAAACGTTGGTCTTCTACTCTTCATCAACCATCAGTATGTGTCCCTGTCCAGCAGGTGGTTGCCTGTCTTGAAGAAGACCCTAGCCCTATTGTTCTCACCCACCTTTGGTGGTGTCTCCAATCAGGACTTGGCAACCTCTAGTCCATGCATCACAGATATTTCTAAACATGGGACTATGTTTAGAAATATCTGTGATGCATGGACTAGAGGTTGCCACTTGGTTGTACCTCTCAATGTACATGCTCCTCTTACAAACTGCTACTATGCAGCATATACATTATAAGCGGACTTGAGATTCCCTATAATCCCATATCCACGGGATACCATAATAAGATTTGATAATCCTATGTGGGAATAAAGACCAAAGCCCCCAAAAACATGCCATATAAAAAGGTAAAACATCCTGAAAGGACAATTAAGGTGTGACATATGGTGGCTGGAACTTGATGAAAAGTAAGAGTAAATTTGTAGTTTATAGTCACCTCAAGATGAAGGAAGTTGAAAGCTGTTAAATTAGACTGTCGACTTTACTCCCACAGGCAATGCTACAGGAGCCTCAGCTGGTAATATAGATCATAATGCCATTAGCTGCCACTGCCTGTGTAACATGTCGGATTTTAATTGGTACCGTGCACAGAGGAAGGTGATTTGTGAAGCTGTGGCAATTAACTTTGTGTCAACATTTACATTAAGCTATTTACAGTCACCGTAAATCAGACAGCAGGGAACTGTCATTTTAGGGGTTATAACTAACCTATTAAGGGAGCCAATAAAGGTCGCTGTATAGAAGCAGCAATTATTATGAATGAACAGGTCACCTAATAGTGCTCATATGTTTGTCCATCATATGAATAAAAGGTCAAATTGCTGCATACATAAACACTACATAAACACTAATGTCACAAAGTTTGTTTCTTGATGAGGTAGAACTAGTCCAAATTTGTTGCACTGATAAATAATTTAATATATAAAGAGTACACATTATAGCCTACCTACCACCTCATATGGTTAAACATTCATCTTCAGGAAGGGCTGCAACTGCAAACTCATTATCTCACAAAGGCAACTTATTTTCTCCCAGATTACGTGTCATGTGGTGTATCAAAAATTCTTTGCTAATCAACATATCTTTTCTTTGCTTTTCCATTATTGCTCCTTATCAGGCAACCAGTCCTGTATTAAATAGGGTTGGATTCCTCACCGTGGTAACCCAGAAAATGGAAGAGAAGCTTCTAATGTGGCAGCTGCTGTAAAGGGTCCCAAATCGTTATCTTTTTCTAAGCTTAAATAAGATGCTTGTCTGCCTAAAGCTAAACCAAATCTTAAACAGTCACGAAAATAGTAACAAACTAAGTAAAATCACGCAGTGCCACTCAGGAGATTATTCATTACTGCATAATGTTTACTGGAAGCAAAATATGTTTACTTTAAAATCTTTTTTAAGGCAATTTTTAGGCATGAAACAAGGCGACACAGGCGTGTTTCTACCCCTTTAAAAAGGCTAATTATGTGTTTGCACCCAGCTAATTTTGCCACGTCCTCTCATTTTATTATTAGCGATGCATTATTTTATAACAAAAACATTGATGAGATGGAACATTTGGACTACTGGGAGGCGTTGAAAGAAGTGAAATCCTGGAGGATTTTTTATTGTCTCATTTAACCGGGGAATGGCTTTGTTCTATCAAATATCTCCAGGGAGATAGCAACATGTTAAGCTCCACTAATCCTGACTGCACCAATTTTATGTCTGGCATTTTGAAGAGGCAGCTCACAAGCAGAGGTATCTTTAAAATAAAAGCCTATTGATTGCATTATACCACCTACAGAAAGCACCGGCCCTCTGTAAGGTCTTTTCATGTAATTCCTATTCCTCTGATGCCCTGAGCGGAGAACATTCTGTAAATGAATCAGACTCTTAGGCAACAATGGGCACGTAATGACAAGACCTCGGTGGCGATAGCAAATCATGTTTGTTATTATTTGCTGTGAAGCAGCAGTTTTCAGTCCAATGTCTTTGCATGCACACAAACATTTCAAGACAACATAAAAAATGATATATTCGGCCGGCACCACATGCAGTTAATCAATGCAAAAATCTCAAGAGATACACATAAGAAGTTGTTCACATTTTTTTAAAGTTAATTTTAAGCAGTTGTTTAACTAGATTTGCCTTGTGCTTGCGTTGGTCCATAGAAACCCAGCCAGGTACGAGATATGCAAATGAACAGTGACTGGAAGTCTTACAGACATTGCAAAAATTGTGTTTTACTGAAATGTGGCAAGATTTGCTAAAAAAATATCAAAAATGATTTCACATATAGTATTTCAGTGCTGGCAACAGTTGCACAAGCTGTTATATGTTACCTGACTCCACAGCTGTCACCTCATATCCATCTTTCTTTTATTTCCTTCAGAGAAGTGTTCTCTACTGAAACTGGAGCCTTGTATTACCCCTGCTTGCTTGTTGTTGAACATAGTGGAGAAAAAATGAGAGCCTCGAGGTGTTTTTGTGTTGATCACCAACTGGACCCCCCTCCCTTCACCTTCCTCGTTTGGTATTTCACAAAAAATCAACAAAGGACGTGTTTCTCATTCATCTTCTATTTTGGGCTTTAGCAATTTCTTATTGATTAAGCAATTATATCTCTGTTTCCCGAGACCAGGAGAAGATGGTGACAAGCAATCCCTTTAGTTGTTATGGGGAATGTAACAGCTGGCCTGTCACTGACATCCAATGAAATGAGCTGAAGTTGGTGTATGTGTAGTCCTTTTAGGATCTTTTAGGATTGTGCAAACCAAGCAGTAAAGACTATATGCTCGGCCCAAACGTTTTGCATTAACTGGCCAGACTAATGCTAATTATCTACATGCATAATGATGCACTAATTTATGAACACATTAACAGCAATTTTAGTTCATCCATTTGTTGCTAGAAACACATTTTGAATGTTGCAAATTGTGGTTCGGTGTTGTTTGCTCCTAATTCACTTTGACTGTGAGAACGCACTGGTAATGTGTAGCCAGCTGTCAAGGACCAAGCCAAACTGTTACCAGCATAATGATACCTGCAGACATTGCTCTGAGAATAGCTCAGCGAGATTCCTGCAGGTTTTGTTTTCTGTCTATGTACTGAACCCAAAATCAAATAGTGCCCCATACTTTCATGAATCACAAATAGGGCAACTCAGCAGCTTGTTCTAAATCAAGCCTTTTAAATTATGCATGAGCAGGAGAGGTTTCCCTTCGTGAAACGAAAGAAAACAAGAGAGAAATTATGATTTTTTTCTGAGTCAAATGATGTAATAATTATCTAATCACACACCTCAACTATGAATGAGTTATCCCTGATCTGATATGTATTAAAATAATATCTTTATTCATGAACATTCATATATGCTTTTAGAAGAAAAGATTGCCATACGCTCATCCAAAGGCCATCAGCTCTTGTAACAAAATGGGATGGAAAGCTTATTCATCTCAGAAAGGTATAATTTCACCTGGAAGCCAAACATACACCGGGGGAAGACGGCGCATGGAGGAGTTAACTTCATTCATTTGAATCTGTCACCACAATGAGCTCATACTGTACCTTTGAAGATTATTCCTTTCATATCTGCCAGAGATCAGATACAATGATGCACTACTTAATCAGCTGCACTCATCACTGCAGATATTCCAGCAATTATTCATGTGATAATAGCCTGCAATATTATTCAAACCATCAGCTTGATAATGAACCTTTTTGGACTTTTTCCACATGTCTTCTACACTTCTTGTATGTACTGTAGCAGATGATGAGACTTAACGCATTTAATTTATTTATTTTTGGATGCTCTGTTATTATTAGATCCTCAGAGCAGTTGAGGCTGAGAATAATTGGGTCCTTAAGCTCCAGCAGCTGTTTTTTTTTTTTAAGAGTTCATCCCTCAGTGCAAGTACCTACTAAGTAAATAGCCAGTAAAGAAAGCTGTGATGACTTTCTTATGGGAATTTTTAATCTCTGCATAATTTGGGTGGAGGATGCTGTGGCCTGTCGTTACTTTCAGATGTTTTGCAGCCAGCTTACGTCATAGCTAGTACACTGTGTGGCTGTAGGTTGAGACTTTGATTAGAGTTGATGTGTGTGAGACGCAGATGGGTAAGTTTAAAGTTCACAAGTTTATTTTCTGTGAGTATTTGTCATGTGGAAAGCTGCGTCAAACACATTTATCAGGTACACCTGTTCATCTGCATGTAAACCAAATTATCTAATTAGACAGTCGCATGAGAGCAACTCAGTGTATTTAGGCATGTAGAAATAGTAAAGACAAATTGAGTATTAGAAAGGGGAATAACGTTGATTTAAGTAACTTTGAACGTGGCACAGTT